GCCTGTCATCCCAGCTACTCGGGTGGTTGAGGTGGGAGAATCACTTGTACCTGGGAGACAGAAGTGCCACCGCACTCTAGACTGGGCAACACAGCAAGATTCTGTCTCAGAGATTTCTTTTTTTTTTTTTTTTTGAGACAGGGTCTTTGTCGCCCTGTCAGGTTGCAGTGTAGTAGTGCCTCCCAGGTTCAAGTGATCCTCCCACTTCAGCCTCCCAAGTAGCTGGGTCTCCAGGCGTGCACCAACACGCCTGGCTAATTTTTGGTAGAGTCCGGGTTTCACCATTTCACTCACGCTGGTTTCAAACTTCACGCGTCCTAGACTCAAGTGATCCTCTCTCCGCGACCTTCCAAAGTGCTAGGATTACAGGTGTGAGCCACTGTGCCCTGCTGTTTTCATACATAAATCTTAAAAGCACCTTAAGATTTTTCCTATAGACAAATACATACATTGAAGTGGTTTTGGATATGCACATCTGCATCAAGTCAAAAAATAAGACTCTCCTTTCTGCAATCCTATTTCTTAGTGTTAAACACTACTTACTCTTTTTTTTTTTTTTTTTTTTTTAAAGATGGAGGCTTGCTCTGTCACCCAGGCTGGAGTGCAGTGGTGGTATCTTGGCTACCTCCTCCTCCCGGCCAGGTTCAAGCAATTCTCAGGCTTTAGCCTTCCAAGTAGCTGGGATTACAGGCATGTGTCACCTCGCCCAGCTAATTTTTGTATTTTTCTTTTTTTTTTTTTGAAATGGAGTGTCACTCTGTCACCGAGGCTAGAGTGCAGTGGCATGATCTTGGCTCACTGCAACCTCCGCCTCCTAGGTTCAAGCGATTCTCCTGCCTCAGCCTCCTGAGTAGCTGGGATTACAGGCGCGCGCGCTACCATGCCTGGCTAATTTTTCTATTTTTAGTAGAGACGAGGTTTCACCATATTGTTCAGGCTTGTCTCGAACTCCTGACCTCATGACCAGCCCGCCTCTGCCTCCCAAAGTCCTGGGATTCTAGGTGTGAGCCGCCATGCCTGGCCCATAATTTTTGTCTTTTTAAAAGAGATAGGGTTTCACAATATTGGTCAGGCTAGTCTTGAACTCCTGACCTGGGGTGATCCACCCACCTTGCCCTCCCAAAGTGCTGGGATTACAGGTGGGGGCCACCACACTCTGACCCTAATTTATTTTACAGCTTCTCACCCTTTACTCTTGCTTTGGAAGACTTTCCCACCTTTTAAATGTTCTTCTTTTTTACATCTCTTGTGTATGTATGTGACATGTAAAATTTATATGATGGTCACATTTTAGTGTCCATAAATAGTCTTATTACCATACTACCACGCTTATTAGTTTGCATATTTTCGAGGCTGCTTACTAGATACAACAGGAGTAATTGTGACAGAGTGTATGGCACATGAAGCTGAAAATGTTTACTATTTGGCCCTTTACAGAAAAGTTTGCTGAACCTTGGAGCAAACAATGTATATTTTGGCAACATGACAATCTGTTTAATCTTAGACATTTTTATTCTTTTTCTAAAGTCGCAGGGTATCACTGTTGCCCGGAGTGCAGTGGCTATCCACAGGTGTGATTCCACCACTGATCAGTTATAGTTTTGAACTGATCTAGAGATCAGTTTGTGATCTAGGCCAATTCACATCTCCTTAGGCAACTTAGTCTAATGGTCCCCTATTTCCAGGAGGTTACCATTTATTTATTTATTTATTGAGACAGTTTCTCATTCTTTTAACCTGGCTGGGGACCAGTGGCATGATAGTAGCTCATTGCAGCCTTGAACTCCTGGTCTTGAGGGATCCTCTGGCCTCAGCCTCTCCAGTAAGTAGGACTACAAGTACATGCCACTGCACCCAGCTCTTTCTTTTTTCATTCATTCTTTTGTAAAATTTATAAATAAATATTGTATATATTTATTATGTACAACATGAAGTTTTCAAATGTGTATACACTGTGTAATTGAAGTTACCATTCTTTTTATAAGTGATATCAGTGGAAACACTCCAGTTCCTGTGTCTCAATTCCTGTGGTATGTCTAATGAACTGTTTCAAGATTTTACAAAATAAAAAATAATCTGCAGTCCCAGCTTCTCTAGAGGCTGAGGCAGGAGACTTGCTTGAGCCCAGGAGTTCAGGTTTGGCAACATAGAGAGACCCTGTCTCTACCCAAAAAAAAAAAAAACGCAGAAAAAAAAAAATAAAAAAATAAATAAATGAATAAAAAAATTAAAAAAAACCCAGAAAAATTATAAATTAACCACGCATGATTACAGGCCCCTGTAGGCCTAGCTACTTGGGAGACTGAGGTGCAAGGATAACTTGAGCCTCAGAGTTCCGGGCTACAGCGATCCTCGATCGTGCCTTTGCACTCCAGCCTGGGCAACAGAGTTAGTCTTTGTCTCAAAATAAATAAATAAATAAATAAAAGGAAAAAGTAGGTAAATAAAGATTAGAGCAGGAAATTGGGAGTGATTGTTTTAACAGGGTACATACAGCATTTCTCGTTGGGGTTTTGAAAACGTTCTTGAATCAGACAATGGCTATCATACAACAGTGCAAATAAACTAAAAACCACTGAATTATACACGTTTCTTTTTTTTCTCTCTCTCTTTTTTGAGATGGAGTTTTGCTCTTGTCTCCCAGGCTGGAGTGCAGTGATTGCAAGCTCAGCTCACTACCTCTGCCTCCTGGGTTCAAGCGATTTTCCCTCCTCAGCCTCTGAGTAGTTGGGATTACAGGTACCCACCACCACACCTAGTTAATTTTTGTATTTTTAGTAGAGACAGAGTTTCACCATGTTAGCTAGGCTGGTCTTGACTCCTGACCTCAGGTGACCCCCCTGCCTTGGCTTCCCAAAGTGCTTGGGATTACAGGTGTGAGCCACTGGGCCTAGCGGAATTGTACACTCTTCAACTGTCAAGTGATGGATTTCATATCATGTAAATTTATCTCAACAAGAAACATTAGTTTGGGTGCAGTGGCTCATGCCTGTAATCCAGCACTTTGGGAGGTTAAAGTAGTCAGACCACTTGAATCCAGGAATTTTGAGACCAACCTGGGCAACATGGTGAAGCCCTGTCTCTGCAACAAATACAAAAATATTAGCCAGGTATGGCGGTTTGTGCCTGTGGTCCCAGCTACTCTGGAGGCTGAGCTGGGAGAATCACTTAAGCCTGGGAATTGGAAGCTGCAGTGAGCTGTGATTATGGCACTGTACTCCAGCCTGGGTGACAGAGTGAAACCCTGTCTCCAAAAAAAAAAAAAGAAAAAGAGAAATTGGAGCTATACTCCTCTCCACTAAAGTGGAAAGTCAGAAAATCCTAATTATTAATGAGAATATGGTATAATTGGAAATATCATAGTCGTTGGAGTATATATTAATAATACCTTTAGAAATTATTTGGCCTGTCTACTAAAGCTGAACATATACACAGGTGTAAGATACACACAGGTGCTGTCATTTAGCACTTTCACTCCACCCAATGTATATGTAACTATTAGAATGTTACAGCAGTTACTTTAAATAGCCAAACACTAAAAATAGCCCAATGTCCATGTGTAGCAGAAAAAATGATTACATTGTCATAGATTTAATCAGTGAACTTACTATAAAATGAGAATGGACTACAAGTATACCTAACAGCTCATCTTGTGAAAATTTAACAAGTTATATACTTATGATTTGTATACATTTCTATGTGTATATTCTATTTGAAAACAGTTTGTATCAAAATAATAAGTATGGCTGGGCATGGGGGCTCACGCCTGTAATCCCAGCTCTTTGGGAGGCTGAGGCGGGCGGATCAGCTGAGGCCAGGAGCTTGAGACCACTTTGGTCAACATGGTGAAACCCCATCTGTACTAAAAATATAGAAATTAGCTGTGCGTGGTGATACACGCCTGTAGTCCCAGCTACTCAGGAGGCTGAGGCAGGAGAATTGATTGAACTGGAAATGTTGCAGTGACCTGAGATTGTGCTATCGCACTCCAGCCTGGGTGATAGAGCAAGACTCTGCCTGAAAAAACATAAATTGATTTTAAAAATAAAAATAAATAAATAAATAGGGCTGGGCGCAGTGGCTCATGCCTGTAATCCCAGCACTTTGGGAGGCCAAGGTGGGCAGATCACGAGGTCAAGAGATTGAGACCATACTGGCCAACATGGGGAAACCCCGTCTGTACTAAGAATACAAAAAAATTAGCTGGGCATGGTGGTGCGCGCCTGTAGTCCCAGTTACTTGGGAGGCTGGGGCAGGAGAATTGCTTGAACCCGGGAGGCAGAGGTTGCAGCAAGCCGAGGTCACACCACTACACTCCAGCCTGGCACCTGGTGACAGAGTGAAACTCTGTCTCAAAAATAAAATAAAATAAAATAATAATAATAAATAAATAAATAAAATAGATATTGCCTAATCAATTCTACCAAAGTAGTTTAAATTTTTACTTGGAGCCCAAGGTAAGTGGATTGCTGGAGCCCACAAGTTAGAGATCAGCTTGGGTTTTGTTTTTGAGACAGAGTCTCACTCTGTTGCCCAGGCTGGAGAGCAGTGTTGCGATCTCAGCTCACTGCAACCTCTACATCCCTGGCTCAAGGGATTCTTCTGCCTCAGCCTCCCGAGTAGCTGGGACCATAGGTGTGCATCACCATGCCTGATGAAAAATTTTTTTTTTTTTTTTGTATTTTTGGTAGAGACTGGGTTTCACCATTTTGCCCAGGCTGGTCTCAAACTCCTGGGCTCAAGTGATCCTCCCATCTTGGCCTCCCAAAATGCTGAGATTATAGGTGTGAGCCACCACATCCAGCCTAGTTCTCTTTTCTTTTTTGCATATTATGCCCTTTTGTTATTTTATGACTTCACTCAATGTGTAAAAAGCAAAAATAATATTTTGGGTTGTATCCACAGGGGCTTTACATTTAGTTGCTATTAAATTTTAATCTTCTTATGGCTGTTATTCAGATATTTAAGTAGATGACATGAGTAATTTCTGTATTTTGCAGGCAGATTTTGTTAACAAACCAGTAAATGGCCCCAAGTCAGAATCCATGGACTACAGTAAATATGGTCATGGGGAAGAACAAAAATCGGAATTGAACCCACATCCTGTTGAAAATGTAACTAAAAATGAAGAAAACATGACAGGCATCGAGGTGGAGAAGTGGACACAAAACAAGAAATCACATTTAACTGATCACGTCAAAGATTTTAGTGCCAATGTCCCAGAACCTGAAAAATCGAACAACTCTGAAGTTGACAAGAAACGAACCAAACCTCCAAAATTGTTTGTACAAACCATAAGAAATGGCATTAAACATGTGCACTATTTACCCACTGAACCAAATGTGTCATTTAAAAAATTCAATATTGAAGCATTCAGCAAGAAATTGGAAAACAATTCATGTAAATTCCTAAAAGACACTGCAAACCATAACAACGCTATGAGCTCCGTTGCTACTGATATGAGTTGTGATCATCTCAAGGGGAGAAGTAATGTTTTAGTATTCCAGCAGCCTGGCTTTAACTGCAATTCCATTCCACATTCTTCACACTCCAACATAAATCATCATGCCAGCATACACAATGAAGGTGATCAACCAAAAACTCCTGAGAATATACAAAGTAAAGAACCAAAAGATGGATCTCCAGTTCAACCATGTCTCTTGTCATTAATGAAAGATAGGAGATTAACATTGGAGCAAGTGGTAGCCATAGAGGCCCTGACTCAACTCTCAGAAGCCCCATCGGAGAATTCCTCCCCATCAAAGTCAGAGAAAGAGGAAGAATCAGAGCAGAGAACAGCCAGTTTGCTTAATAGCTGCAAAGCTATTCTCTACTCTGTAAGAAAAGACCTTCAAGACCCAAACTTACAAGGAGAGTCACCAAATCTTCATCACTGTACATCTTTGGGAAAACAAAGTTCGCCCAGCACGGTGGTTTTCAATGGGCAAACTACTACACTTTCCAGCTCACATATCAGTTCAGCTACTAACCTAGCATCCACAAAGTCACATGAATATTCAAAAGTCACAAATTCATTATCTCTTTTTGTACCAAAATCAAATTCCTCCAAGACTGACACCAATAAAAGTGTTACTCAAGGGATAATTGCTCTTGACAATTGTTCCAATAATATGCCTCAGTTGCCACCAAGAAATAATGAAGTGGGGTATTGTAACCAGTTACTGGACAGCAGCAAAAATTTGAACTCAGATGATCTATTATGTCAGGATGCAGCCCATACCCAAATTGAGGAAGACGTTGCAACACAGTTGACACAACTGGCTTCAATAATTAAGTTCAATTATGTAAAACCAGAGGACAAAAAAGTTGAAAGTACACCCACAAGCCTTGTTGCATGCAGTATACAGCAAAAATACAATCAAGAGAAAGGCACAATACAACAGAAACCACCTTCAAGTGTACAAAATAATCATGGTGCATCATTAACAAAGCAAAAGAACACAACCCAGAAAAAGACAAAATCCACCCCATCAAGAGATCGGCGGAAAAAGAAGCCTACAGTTGTAGGTTATCAAGAAAATGATCCGCAGCAGTGGGAAACATTGTCCTATGCGTATGGCACAGTATGTGACATTTGGATTGCATCGAAATTTCAAAAATTTGGGCAATTTTGTTCACATGATTTTCCTACTGTATTTGGGGAAATTTCTTCCGCAGCCAAAATATGGAAACCACTGGCTCAGACAAGGTCCATTATACAACCCAAAACAATATTTCCTCCACTCACTCAGATAAAATTACAGAGGTATCCTGAAGCAGTAGAGGAAAAGATGAAGGTTGAACCATTGGATTCACTCAGCTTATTTCATCTTAAAACGGAATCCAACGGGAAGGCATTCACTGATAAAGCTTATATCTCTCAGGTACAGTTAACAGCGAATGCCAATCAGAAAGCCCATCCTTTGACCCAGCCCTCCTCTCCACCTAACCAGTGTGCTGACGTGACGGCTGGCGATGACCAAATACAATTTCAACAGGTTGTTAAGGAGCAACTCATGCATCAGAGACTGCTAACATTGCCTGGTATCTCTCATGAAACACCCTTACCGGAGTCAGCACTAACTCTCAGGAATGTAAATGTGGTGTGTTCAGGTGGAATGACAGTGGTTTCTACCAAAAGTGAAGAGGAAGTCTCTTCATCCAGTGTTGGAACGTCAGAGTTTTCCACGGTGGACAGTGCACAGAAAAATTTCAGTGATTATGCTATGAACTTCTTTACTAATCCTACAAAAAACCTAGTGTCCATAACTAAAGATTCTGAACTGCCCACCTGCAACTGCCTTGGTGAGTACTTGTGTGGATGTATTTTTATTCCACCTACACAAATTACCTCAGTCATGACTGAGGCAAATTCTGATATATCTTCTGTGTGATATTTTTCCCCATTCTTATTCTAACATGAATTAAGTAAATCTATAATCATTTTTCTGTGGGACATTTTGGTTCTGCTCACAAGAATGGAAAACTCAACTCATAATTTGCAAAAACAAAGATAAACCTCAAAAATATGCAGATTTCTCTCAAAGTTGAATGTCTGTCGATTTATTTGGCATAGCATAAGAATGAATTTCCTAGGCCAGATGTGTTGGCTCTTGCCTGTAATCCCAACACTTTGGGAGGCCAAGTCAGATGGGTCATTTGAGGTCAAGAGTTCCATACCAGCCTGTCCAATATGGTGAAACCCCATATCTACTTAAAATTAAAAAATTAGAGGCCAGTTGCAGTGGCTTATGCCTGTAATGCCAGCACTTTGGGAGGCCGAGGTGGATGGATCACGAGGTCAGGAGATTGAAACCATCCTGGCCAACATGGTGAAACCCTGTCTCTACTAAAAAATACAAAAATTAGCTGGGCATGGTGGCATGTGCCTGTAGTCCTAGCTACTCCGGAGGCTAAGGAAGGAGAATCACTTGAGCCCGGGAGTTGGAGGTTGCAGTGAGCCAAGATCGAGCCACTGCACTCCAGCCTAGTGATAGAGCGAGACTCTGTCTC